TAGAGTTTGGTATGGCGATCTTAATTTTGCTCAAGAGGAATTGGCATGTGCTTGCCATCCAGTGCACTGCAAGCTTATTGAAGTCCAAATAACTATAACCAGTTTACCAAAGTCCGTGAGCCTGGAATTTCTCAACTCGAACCTTAAGGACAAGGTTCTTATTGAGGAGGGGAGTATTGTTGTGAACATGGATAAGTTAGATAATGCTTATGGACCAGCTATTTGGATAAAGGTTGGCCAAGCTATTGGGACTTGGGCTAAACCACGATATGGCCAAGGAATTAGACAATCCAACGATACATTTGCTTGGGATCCAGGTTGAGTAGGGAGTACGTGACAAAGGGGATAAAAGGGTGTCATCGGCAGTTTTAGGAATTATGCGAATTATGTCAACTACTTGGGCAGAGCCTATGTTTCCTCATCCTCAATTCTCTGTGCACTCCTCATCCCCTTCTTCTACTATGTTTGTTCTTAAAAAATTCCTTTCAGTGTTTAGTTTCTCTTTGTAATTTTCGTTTTTATCGTAGTGAAATACACTTGTTAATATGTTGGGAGTGGAATTGTATGTGATTAGTGTTGGGTTCGTTACATCGAACTTGAGACCAAAAGTAACTTTGAACCTCATTTACTACTACACCAAGATTTTCTAATTTCAATGGGATTCAAAAGTTTATATATAAACAAAGAAATATTTTCTAATAACAAAGAGTTAGCTCACCGTCGCAGGATCGCCAGGGGCGGATCTACGTTGCAAGTTAGGGGTATCACGGCACCCGCTCGCTTCGCTAAAATTTCTACCATGTACATAATATCTCTGTGAAAAAATATATAAATGGATAGAATGGCCCAAAAGTCATAAAGTGAAAGTGGGTGTCATTGGTTTAGCCTTCCCTTTGAAGGCTTTTCTTGGCCTCAAGAATGCAAGTTCGATTCCCTGTTGGAGTAGCTCCTTTGATTTTTCCTTTTTTCTACTTATTAAGATTTCTTTTATTTTTAGTTGAACCCTAGGGCCTCATATCTTTTCCTTCTTTTTCGATTCTTTTCCTCATTTTATTGCTTGTTACGTCTCTCTTCTTCATTTTTTTAACTTTCAGTCCTCATTTTGTTTCTATCATTATACCTTACTTTATAAAGAATTATTTTCGATAGTAATTTTAATTGATTTTAATTAGAATATAATTTCTTTATTTTTAATGAAACGATATTAATTTATATATTGGAATATAATTTGAGCAATATCTTCTTTTGGATTTTGAAAAAATATTAAATGGCTTGATTGATAGTCGTTTTGAGTTGAATATCATAGATTGAATGTTGAAGGTTTTTCTTTGAAAATAATTGTCATATAACTCAACAATTAAGATGGAAAAATAAACAAAGAACAATACAAGTAAATTAATCTAGTCAAACAAAGAATATAGTGTAGTTAAGGTACCCTTTAAGCAAATATTTATATTGGAGGCGCTCTTTCATGAAATATTATTTTTCTTTTGTATTTTTATTTAGAATGTGTTTAAATTAAGCGTTAAAAATTTGAACTAAAATCGAATTTATTTGCTTTGTGAATGAAAGGCCTATTCAAATTAACCAAAAACTAACTAAACCGATCCATTATTCCTAATCTGTCTTTGCAGCTACTGACATGTATACTATATGCATAGTATGGTGGCACCCGCAACCTTCGAATCCTGGATCCGCCTCTGAGGATCGCGACCATTTGTCTCAGCCAATGACCTTTATACAGTCAAACTTCTCTATAACAACCTCGTTTGTTCCAAATATTTTTGAATGTTATAGCGAAGTGATGTTATAAAGATTATAACATAACATGAAAATTAGTTTCGGAAAAGCTTGACTTTTATAGTGAAGTGTTGTTATATAGGGATGTTGTTATAGAGAAGGCTGATCATGAAATTCTCATTAATCCTGTCCCATAAATATCAGTATAGTAAATTCAATTTGTCTTGTATTTGGGAGTGATCACGTGCCAAGCGTGATATTGACTCATTTGCATCCAAAAACCTCAATAACTCTTAACATGTATTTGGAATAAAGATCTACTGTTTGACTTCTATCAATCTCTCTTCACATTTTTTCACGGGATGACAGCCAAGGGAGCTAAAATACAACAGATCGATTCAACATCCTACACCAAAAGCGTATGAGATGTGACAAGTTATCGCGATGGTCATTGGTTTGATTCCGATGGCCAGCTTTTCCCTATTATTTTTTTATTGAATTTTGTAGATGATTGATAATGTTTCTTTAAAATCAGAAAATATTGAAATAACACCTTCTTCCTTTTTCAAAAGCTATCAATTTATTATAGGAACTTATATATATATATATATATAAAGGGGGTTTGTATATTTATCCAATTCATCCCATTCTTCTTTTCTTTATAGTAATAGTACAAAGTACACTATTTTAGTAAACTTCGCTCCATTTAATTCAGTTAGTTTTAGTAGGTTTATGCTGTAAAATCACTTATAAGTACTTGTAGAGGCAAAGCACTAGGTGATTTTATCTCATTTGTCCAAGCTATGTGGATAAATTTACTTTGTATCTCTGCTAATGGAAAGTAACAAATACCCTATGGAATTAGCCGAGTTATGCGCAAGCTGGCGCAGACACCACCGTTATAAAAAAAAAAATGCTTATAGGTCCTCTTTATTAGCTTTTCTACGTGCTGAACGTAGGAACATATCTTGATTAAATGTGTACTTTAGGACAAATGCTAGGTGAAGCTTGTACTGAATGTGAGAAGTTATGATGTCTTGATTATATGCTATTTTTAGGTTTTGAGTAAACAGTTATCCTCTAATGTATTTTTGTGTACAAATTAGTCGGGATCAGTTATACGAATCCTGGAAATTCCGTTTGCTTTATTTGGACTTGTTTTGTTCCAGTACTCTATAATATGAGTTCTGTTTACATTCTTTAGAAATCCAAATCTCTAATTAGACTAAAAAGACTACTAAATCAGATGGGTTCTCTTTCACATTCTAGAGGCATTCAAATCTCTAACTTCAGTATAGAAAAATAATCATTAAAGTACTAAAATCAACATAAAAAGTCCAGAAATTTCAGGCTTCATTGTTTCAATCCCTGCAGTCAGCAAGTACGGATGAGAGTTTTAGCTTAACAAGTTGTATAGGGTAAAACATGCTATGCTACGTGGCCGTCCAAAAGAGGGACACGTGGAACCTAAAACGGGAGATATAGCTAAAACCGAAGGCAATTGTCTTGTCTGTCACCGGAAAGAATAACGCTCATAAAGATGCAATAAATAGTCTTCGCCCGGTAGCATTTAATGGAGAATATTCCACAACATTTAGTACGCTGCCCGTTACAAAGAATTTATGCTTACCGTTATACCCTCTTAAATGGCCCTCATAATTTACATTAAAGAAGGGCATGATCCTAGGATCTTGTTCCCTACGTGCAACTATAAATAGTGAGCTCAGTTATCATTGTAAATGACATGACTTTCTTGGCAAACCTACACTATAATCAATAAAAAGCTTTATACAATTTTACTTTGTTGTTCATCATTTTCATCACTGTTGTACCCGGAGGCTCTATTATTCTTTGTGATTTTATCTTCATTTCAAGACTAAGTATTATGTATTTCCTTAATTATTTTATTATTTTAGGATCAAATTAATTCACTTGTCTAGAAACCACGTATAAATTTAATTGTACCATTTTACGGGAAAATAGTTTGGAGCCCACCGTGGGGCCTAGACAGTCGTGTAATTAAGTTGATCCTTGTCTTTTTTACTAACGTATTTTGGTTATTCATCTTAGCAAAAAATCATAACAAATCGCAGAAAATGGTGTTAACAACGCACACAATCCTGAGGTTCAAGGAGACCAGTCTCACCTCGAGGATTCAGTCAGTGACACCCACAATGAAGGAAATGATGCCACATCGGTCCACGACATGCGGTACCCACAACGTGTTCAGGAAGAAACCACTGATGATGTTGAAGAGGAACATGTTGTTGATGCGGTAAGGGTCCTACAAGAACAACATGCGATCATTCTAGGCCACCTCACGCGACAGAATAAGATTATGACGGAGTTGAAGCAGGCGCTGTCGGGGGCTTAGAATAACGCGAATAGATGAGGTTCGGTTCCTCCCGACGCTCCTGCGAATCAAACAACGCAGAGGGTCAACAGCAACACCCCCAAGGGCGAAGTTGGCTCCGATGGGGCTGGGGAGAGCAGATCCGGCCCCAATAACGAAAACGATCCCTTCAAGTATGATCTCTTACAGTTTATGAGGGAAGTGAACGCCCGCATGGACCAATCCCGGGCGCACTACCGGTGCTAAAAGGTTCGGACTCAAAGAAGTATACTCAATTGCCATACAAGCCAAGCGCGACACCAGAATTATTCCCGAAGCGGTTTAAAATGTCTGTTGTGCCAAAGTATGATGGAACTTCAGACCCTCAAGAGCATATTACCACTGATACAATAGCGGTGAAGGGGAATGATTTAGCTTCTCACGAAATTGAATCTGTTTTGCTGAAGAAATTTGGAGAGACTCTTACGAGGGGAGCCTTGACGTGGTATTCACTGTTACCCGAGCATTCCATAGATTCTTTTGAGATACTCGCGGATTCTTTTATTAAGGCTCACGCCGGGGCCAGAAAAGTGCAGGCTCGAAAGGCTGACATATTAAAAATTGCACAAGGAGAATCCGAGTTGCTGCGAGAATTCGTTACCCGATTCCAAAAGGAAAGAATGTTTCTCCCGGATGTTCCGGATAAATGGGCGGCTGAAGCATTCACTAAGGGACTGAATCCGAGAAGTTCGGACGCTTCCTGGAAATTGAAGGAAATCCTGCTTGAGTTTCAAACAACGACTTAGGAGGATGTCCACAACCGGTACGAATCAAAGATAAGGATCGAAGATGATCAGGTTGGCTTCCATCGTCGACAAAAGCACGGGAGAAGAATAGAGAAAAATCAAAAGACGATCTCGACACGGACATGCGATCTTCGGGGGGACAGTTTTCGCCCTATGAATGGACCGAAGGACGCGGCAGAGGCTTTCGGTCAGCGGACAGGTTCGCCATTGATAGAAGGATTGATCGCGGTCAGAACAATAGATCATTGCATGACAAAAAAGCGTCAGGTACGCGGGATCCTTCCTACCCCAAGCTGTCAGAATACAATTTCAACGTCAGTGTAGTAGAGTTGGTGTCAGCCACGAGAAACATCGAAGAAGCACGGTTCCCGAAGCTGATGAGATCCGATCCCAGCCAGAGAGATCCCAACTTATAGTGTGAATAACACGGGACGAATGGCCTCTGGACTGGGGACTTCCGACATCTCCGGGAAGAAGTGGCAACACTTTTGAATAATAGGCATCCTAGAGAATTCTTTAGTGATCGGGCCAAGAACAACTACGGTCGTAACCAGGATAACGGGAAACCCTCGAAGGCAAGAGAATATTCTCCTCGACAGATGATCAACATGATCTTCGATGGGAATGAAATAAATGGGGTCACCTTCTCGACAGCAAAAAAGATGAAGGTATCAATAACCCATTGCAAGAGACTTCAGGAAGTTGTTGAAGATGACATCACTTTCACGGAGACGCGGACGGATTGTTGCTACCGCACAACGACGCATTGGTAATTTCTTTAAATTTGCTTGACTTTAAAATCAAATGTGTTCTAGTGGATCCAGGAAGTTTGGCCAACATTATACAATGGAGAGTATTGGAGCAAGCTAAAGTCATCGGAAGCATCATTACGGCCACAAAACTCCTCGCCAAATTCAACCTTGCGAGTGTGATAACCCGAGGAGAAATCTTGTTACCCACGAATGCCGAGTGGGTGATGAAAACGGCTCTTTTTGAAGTGGTAGATGGTGACGTGGGATATAATATTATTCTGGGAAGACCATGGTTGCACGAGATGAGAGTTGAACCGTCAACGTATCATCAGTTGTTGAAATTTCCAACGCCTGAGGGAATCAAACAGATAAGGGACGATCAACCGACAGCAAGGGAGATGAATGCAATTTTGATTTCCAATAGCAAAGGGAAGGAACACGCGGTATAACAACTACAGGAACCGGTGCCCGCTTTCGAATCGAATGAAGTTGGCCTAGGGTAAAGGCGTCAAAATCTTATCAGGTACATAGGTATATGAAGAAATCGGGCGTATATTCCTTAGTGTTAAAACTGGTAAGGGCGGGATATTATTGGCCCCGCATGGAACAAGACGGCAAAGCTTTCATACAAAAATGCGATAATTGCCAACGATATGCACCGCTAGTACATCAACCGGCGGAACCACTACATTTAGTCTTGTCTCCGTGGACGTTCATGAAGTGGGGGATGGATATCGTCGGACCGCTACATTTAGTTTTGACTGATTATTTTTTTAAGTGGGTGGAAGCAGGTCCTTATCAGAAGATCGGTGAATGCGAAGTGGGGGATTTCTTATGGGAAAATATAATCTGCAGGTTTGGAATACCAAAAGAGATAGCATGGGACAATGGGCCGCAATTTATCGGCACAAAGATAATAAAGTTCCTCGAAGATTTGAAAATAAAGAGGATCACATCTTCACCCTATCATCCGAGTACAAATGGTCATGCGGAGTCAACAAACAAAGTGATCATACAAAACCTCAAGAAAAGGTTGGAAGCAGCTAAAGGTAAATGGCCTGAGGAACTACCTGGAGTCTTATGGGCATATCGAACGACGACCAAGTCGAGCACGGAGGAAACTCCATTTTCCCTTGTGTACGGAGTTGAAGCCTTGATTCTGGTGGAAGTAGGGGAGCCTACCTTAAGGTATTTCAAGGCAAGCTAAGAAGCAAACAATGAAATGATGTTGGTCAACTTGGAATTACTCGATGAGCGCAGGGACTTGGCACGTGTAAGGATGATGACATAAAAGCAGAGAATGGAAAGATATTATAATCGAAGAGTCAACCTTCGTTACTTTAGATTGGGAGATTTGGTTTTAAGGAAAGTAACCCAAAACACCCGGGAACTCAACGCAAGAAAGTTAGGCCCAACCTGGGAAGGTCCCTACCGGATCTCGGCTGTCACCGAAAAAGGTTCGTACGAGTTAGAGAATCAAAATGGAGAAAAGTTGCCGAGCAATTGGAATGTGGCACACCTCAAGAGGTACTATTACTGACAAACATCGTCTGTACTGGAAGTATGCACTGCACTCTTTTTCCCTTTGTCAAGTTTTTATCCCAATTGGATTTTTCTTGTAAGGTTTTTTAACGAGGCAGCCATGGAAAATATACTACGAAAAAATTTCAACGGCAACAATAAGACCTTTAATAGCAAGGCAAATAAGCGAAGAGCCACTCAGGGGTGGTTAGATAATCTTTGGCACTATAGAAAAATTTCCACTGGGATAAGTTTGCTATAAAGCAAAGATTACCCGACCGTTCACAAGTGCAAACCGTTAGAGGATTGTTAGATAGTCTTTTGCTCGATATCATAAATTCCTAAGGGGAAGCGAAGTTTGTTACCGAGTGGAGGATTGCCTAGTAATTTATTAGTGGGATCCTCGAAGGTGCAAGATTCAGAGTATTCCAATTTGCATTCTTTGCATTTGAACACTGGGGGGGGATGATATGAGAATGCAGCAACAATGACTGCCATGTCGATCGAAACACGAAAACCGGGATCATAATTGTATCATCGGGACTGGGGACTGTGCGTCAAGCCCCGTAGAAATAAGTTGTATAAATTAGCCACAAGAAATGGCAATTTCTCTTTAATATAACGAATGCTTATGTACTTTTTGAACTTTTTGAAAACAAAAGGAATAAAGTAAAGTCCTTTTATTTTCCATCTTATTTCTTTTCTAATTGATGAATTGATTTTATCATTTGAAAGTTAAACAAATACTTCAAATGCTTGTGTCGTAATGAACAGGAGACGTTCTCTTCAAGAGCACCGTAAATATAAGAGGGCCCTCTCTTATGAAAACCCTCATATAAAAGGGTTGATTTCGGAAGAACTTATGCCCGAAATCAAAATGCTTTCGGGAAAAATACACCCAAGGCTTCACATAATAAGACGCAAACAGTAAAGCTTGCGCAAAACTCTTAAGCAAAAAGAAGAGAATGCAAAGATTAAAACTTGCATAAATGTTCAAACGAAAGAAAGACTCAAACAATACTTGAGCAAAAAGATGTTTTTATAACATGCCAAAATGGCAAAAATAAAAGAATTGGAAAAAGAAAAGCTAAATTGCTGCATCTCTGGAACCCGGAGGAAGAGAAGTGTCTATTCCCCCAAGGGAAGTGGATGGATCCACCGATGGCTCAACATTTTGGCCCTCACCAGTTTGGCCTTCAACATCTTCGCCTTCCACTTCCTTTTCAGTTCCCGAAGTTTTGTAATCGGAAGCAGCAGGCTTTGTCGGGAGACCATTTTTAGCAGCTAACTCGAGCTCACGACCTTAGTAATTTCAGCATCAAAGTCAATGATACCATCTTTGGCCTCTTTCGAGGTTTTTCTCTTCGTGTTGTACATAGCGTAAGTTTTCTCAACAATGAAGGAAGCCTCTCGGCACTTAAGTTCTTATTTGAGTTGGGTTACCTCGGCAGAAAGGCTTTCCCGGGCGGATCTAACGGATCTGAGGCTATCATCAAGGTCACGGATAGTTGAACTAAAGAGCCTACTGTGCTCGATAGTTTTCCTATACTTCTCCTCTAACTGGGCATGTTTCGCCCCCGCGGCAGCAAGTTCTTCAGGTTTGGAGTTTAAGGCTGCCTCTAAGTTAGTCAATCGTTCAGCGAAGGCAGCCTCGCGGTCGGTTGTAGCAAGAACAACGTTATGGACTTCAGCCCATTTGGCCCTGGCTTTGTCAAATCTAACCCTCAGCGGGCCAAGCTTTTGGCTAATGGTTACCATTTCTTGCTCTCTTTGCTGCAAATAAGCCTCCAATACAACAGCCTCAGTAGCTTTGGCCTCCAATTCTGAGAGGCGAGCGGCAGTTTTCTCTCGCTCGACCAAAAGTTGATCCCGTGCGGAGGTAAGTTCTTCCTTTTCCTAAATCAACCTTTGGAGGCCCTCGAAAGCAAGAAAGCTAGCCTACAAAGCAAGAAAGTCAAACTTATGATATTTTCAGGCAAAAGTAAAAGGAATAACAAAGGAAGTAAGAAATGTACCGCTGCAGTGTTGTGCATGGCATTGTTCAACAATCACTCTCCCGAGAGAGCCTTTATCTTTTCCCAATCTTTCTCTGAAGCCAAAGGCTTCAGATAGTTAGCAAGTCCCATTGGCCGGGATACCAAATTGCATCTGGTGGAGACCGAGAGAGTAACGATCCTTCTCCTTTACGGATCTTCTGAGGGGGGAGCATAGTTGTGCCCCAAATTCCCATGAACTGGAGACTGGGGGAGAGGGACACCCTCTTCTCAGGTAGACGCGGTCGGTGGAGATGATGTAGCAGTTTCTTATGAAAGAGTTGATGAAGGTGGAAATGATGTAGCAGTTGTTGGTGTTGGTGAAGGTGGACAAGAAGCTGATAGAGTTGAAGAGTGAGAAGCAGTTGCAACAAATGCAATGTTGGTTGTTGGTTTCTCGTCATCCGAGGATGGAAGGGACCCGGTACTCATACCCAAAATACCAGGCACGACGACTGGGACACGAAAGCGGAAGTTGGCATTTTCCACCATTTCATACTCCCCCCAGAGCGCCGAGACATCGTCCTCATCTGGTGTAACTAACTCAACGGATTGAGAGGTCTGTTGAGTTAAGGAAGGTCGTCGTCTTCTATGTAGAGAAGCTCCTTCCTTGCTAGCTTCTCCATCATCATCAATCATCACGGTATCAATGGTCGGCCTAGGTAGAGGGCTCGTCACCACGACTTCTGGAGATGATTCGGGGGCATCACTTTTTGCCCTCTTATTTTTCCCTCCGGATGTAGAGGAATGCCTTCTTTTTGGTTGCTTGTTCTCCGGCCGGGGACTCTGTGAAGAAACACTTGTGCCCAAAGCAGGCTCGGAGACACATGTTTGAGTAAGCGCCTCCTGAAGTGGCCTCACCGCGTCAGCAGGATCAGCCAAAACATCCTCCTTGGGGACAGTAACTGAGCCCGCAGGTAGACCTGATTTTAGGAAAAAAGGAGAAGGAGTCAATCAATTTATTAGCGTGAAAAGAAAAAACGAGACAAGTTTGAGTTACCATGGTTTTTGGCCTTCCACCCGTATTTAAGGGCCAGTCCTTTCCATGTACGGGTCTCGGGCGTAGAAATGTTCAAGATTATCTGCACCCACTAGGCCAAGCCTTCAACCTTAGGTGGAACCCATCGAGTTGCTGAAACAGGCGAAAGGTGGAGGATCAGTGCAAATATGAAGAAATTTCTAGCAAAAAGGAAATTAAACAAGGAGCTTACAAGTGTGGTTCCATGATTCCGGAAAGAATGAAGCCGTTGCCGGAATGATATCGCCGGTGGCAACGAAATGAACCGTTCCATTCATCCATGGTCGTTGTCGTCATCCATGCTAGATAGTAGAGCATGGTGATTGCGCTTGCTAAAATTTATAATTCCCCCGCGGAAGATCTTGGGGGAATAGAGATTCATCACATGAGCTAAGGTTAGCTCCTCTCCCGTCTCTTGGCACAAATGCCAAAGGCAAGCAACCGTCCTCTACACAGAAGAACTTACGTGTGCCAAACACACCCGGTATCGAAGGCAGAACTCTGCAATAACGGAGTCAAGTTCTCTACTCAAGGAAAACGCACCCAAAGTAAAAGGATACGTGTAAAAGTATGTAAAACCATCCTTGGGTAAGGTTACCCGCTCCATCAGATTGGGAGCAAAAATAGTTAGGTCCTGGCAGCAACAGTCTTCCTTCACAGCAGGAATTCTAGAAGGACGGATGGAAGAAGGATACCTACTAACGGCCCATGTACGAGAGCTACTAGAAGGAAATTTCTTTTCAAAGTCTTTTGTTGTAACAAGACTCCTAGGGATTATGGTGCCCACTGTTGGAGGAACAGAGTCCTCGACTTTGTTCTTGTTCTTTATAGAACTGGTATCCTTTGAGGAAGAAGCCAGTATATGTAAGAAGAAAAA